GTATATCACATTTTAATGCTTATCCACACGTGCTCATACTTTTCAAAGTTTGTTTTATTACAAAATTTTTCTTTCAGATTTATTTGCACAGATACAATAGAAGAGCGCATCAAAGCCTTACAAGAGCGAAAGCTTCAAATAGCACAAAATGTATTGAGTGGTGATAAACATACTGCTACGAAACTGACACTCAATGATCTCAAATCGCTCTTCGGTTTCTAATTTTATATCGCGGAGTCCAGAAAAAAGTAGATCAAGTTCAATTTTAATTGTTGGAAAATTAGTTCTAAAGTTTAAGTTCTAATTGTATGCAGCAAGTACACTGTTTTTCATGAGTGTTATAGTTTCTTTTTTTTTTTTAATTTTTACTTTAATTTTAGCTTAAACATTTGCATTTATTTTTTAAAATTATTCGGTGAAAACTGTTTAGTTTTTTTTTCTAATGGATTTAAAAAAAAGATCACTTTTCCTCTGAACTCATATAATAGTAGTTTATAGTTTTATAAAATTATATTTAAAAAATTTTTTTTATGTATAAAATAATTATGTAAAAATATCTCTTAACTAAGTGACAAAAATATTAGAGAAATAAATATATTTATTATTAAATGTTTTGTCTTGTTAGTTCATTACGTAACATGAGAAAAGTCAGTCTCTTCCCATTCTGTTTTTTCCTTAGCATTATCGGTAGTTCTCGATGGTACTTTTCTTTGTCGGCTGGTACTGTTCCGCATGCCGTACAAGAAATATATGCACAAACCTGTCATAAATAGCCATGATATATTTAATGAACTTACAATAAATACATACGTTTATCCGCCTTCCCATAATAGACTTACCAACTGCCATCCACACGACAAACCGTATCCATGTCATTTTATCTAACATCATCATAAGATAAACGTTAATAAGGACACTTAATCCTGGCAAGAATGGCACAAGCGGCACCTAAAACGATAATCATTATTAATTGTACAATATTGTTGCATAATCAATAATTAAAAAAACAGATATAGGCCTTAAACAACATTACGAATTAAAATTAATGTGATGGTATTAATATAATATTAGGATAGAAAAATCATAAGTATAAAAAAATGTACAATACCGAGAATGTAAGTTCTTTGCCAGAAACTGGTTGGAGATAAATGAAAGAGAGGGTAGTCAAGAGTGCGACAACTAAAATAGCAAGGGAGACTATGTAACCCAATTTTCCGGCGCTAATCTCTTCCAAATACATTGACAACAAAGTGGCGACACCGAAACATAGACTAACTGTAAAAAAATTGAGCAATGTATATCTCAAGATGAGGCAAAAATCAATGAAAATAATAAACCTTACTGTAACAAAATACAAGAGACGTAACAATCTGCGCCGTAAGTTTTGTGGAATGATTTAACTTGTTCGCGTTTACCAGTTGTTTAACAATGAATGTGAAGGTCCTGGGATCGTGATCGCCTTTCTTCTCATATGCTTCGCTTTCTTCGTAACTACCGAAAATAAGTCAATTGTTTCTATTATTCGATGAAATTGCATTAATTGTAAGCCAATTTATTTTAATTGACGCTTTATCGACTCTTAATTCTGAAAGATGTTGAAAGATGAGTTAAACTATGAATCAAATTTCAACGCAGTTTAAATTTCTTACCGTAAAATAAGAACGCAACACGCCACAATCGAATACGCTAACAACGTACCGATACTCATCATGTTGACTAATTGCGAGAGTTCGAATATCGCTGCTAAAATTCCTGTAATAATATTAAACGATTACATTGTTGATTAACCAGGTGAAAATAACGCGTATCGAACCTGTTAGAAGCCCAGCGGAAAGTGTGCCTACGAGTGGAGTCTGGAATCGTGAGCTCACTTTTCCCATCCACTTGAAGATCAGTCCATCTGAAGCCATGGCGTAGATAACTCGCGGCAGCGGAAACATAGCGCCTAATAAACTGAAACAATTGATTAATAATGATAAGAAAACAACGCTCCTTGTACGTATTAAAAACAAATCTTTTAGCAAGATATACTTTCATATAAAATTTTTCAACGAACAATATTTCCAAATCAAATTAAATTTTATAAAATTAAGATTGCTAAGAAATGTAGGAAAAACATTCACTTCTTTCAGCATGATGCAACAGAAAGCGGTATTACCTGGAGCAGAGTCCGCAAATTGCTCCAACTGATACGAGCCACTTGGCCCAGCTCCATCCTATCGTGTCGAACATGTGCGGAAACGGTGCGTCGGAATTTTGCGCGTAGTACGGCAGCACGGTGGTGAGCACCGCGGAGACGCCGAAATATGCTAGGAAAACGACCATCAGTGATGCGACGATCGCTATGGGGATGGATCGTTTTGGATTCTTGGCCTCCTCCCCCGTGGTAGCCACGCAATCAAAACCAATAAATCCATAGAAGCATGTAGCCGCACCAGTTATAACGCCTGATATACCATAAGGAAAGAAGCCACCGGTTCCGTGTGGGCAATCCGTCTCGGTGCAGGTAGGCTCCAATTTCCAATTATTAATATCAGCTATAAATTTATTTCAAATTTTATATTTTGTCTTTTTATATCTTAACTTATGGGCTTGTAAATATAAATATTTTTCTATCATCTTATAGCTCATGTTTCTAGCGTGTTACTGTTAATTGTAGAGTAATAATCATGCAATCAGTGAATACGTTAACTTCGCATTTATACAAAAGAGACAAATTTGAAAGAGTCCTTTCTTTTCTCTTACATTTAAAGGCACCGCCAATTATAACGAAGAGCACAACAGAGAGGTTTACCAAGGTGAAGAAATTATTCGCCAGCGAGGATTCCTTGGCACCGAAAGCAAGTGCGACTGAAAAAAATCACAAATTATTTCGACTTTAATACCAGTTTGTGTGTTATGAGAGATGTGCATTTTTAAATATCTCGGCTATTTTGTTAATAAAACAAGGTGAAATTTTCGGCGAGATTTAATTAGATCGTATCGATGACTCCTATCCTTACAATTCTCTTATTACCTGAAAATACCAGGGTGACTCCGAACGCGAAGAAGTCCGGATACGTTGATAAATTACTGACATCGATAGGCGCTGCTGATTCGAAAGCATTCCTCATGCTGTTGTTGAAGAGTGCATCGACGTACGTACTCAGACCGCGCACCACGCTGGCTGTGCCGATCACATACTCTAGAATCAGAGTCCATCCGATGAGAAACGCTACGAATTCGCCCATCGTAACGTAGCTATAAATGTATGCGGATCCGGCACGCGGCACTCGTGCGCCGAACTCAGCGTAACAGAGACCTGAAAAATTATGATAAATATTAGTACAAAAATTTAAACATATTAGGTGTTTATTTTGAAACTAGTAAATCGATTTTTTTTATTAAGCGTCGGTATTTCAATATTAAAATTAATTTAATTAAATAATTTTTTTTCTCTGTTTATTATAGATAGATCTACTTGTATTAGATTACTGACAGAAATTACCATATTTGTCAAAGAAAATGACAATTAACATTAACTATTGTAATTGCGTATTGTATCGCAGTTGTTATATGTTTATATTATTAATGGTATTTTTATCTGGCCATGATCTATCTCTTTTATTATTTTATTAGTGTTATTATTTTATAGTGTTATTATCAAGCATATAAAACGAGACTAACACGAACATTATCTTAAGATTATCAATTAATGCGTTGAGAGCTGAATATCGGCAAATCTTATTCCAAGAACTCTTAAACTAATACATTTTGTGCGTTGTAATATAAATCTTACATGTAACAAATCTATATCTCGGCTACCAAGTGAAACAATGCTGTGTGTTTTTAGTATCATTTTCTGCGAAGCTTGCATTTATGATGCCGAGATAGAAATTTGCTTAAGCAGCGGCAAGCATGTAAGATGGACTAAAAGACAGGCCATTATTCAGTTCATTGTTTAATCTTATCAATATTTATTTTTATATAATTTCTCTGCAACATATTCTTTATTAAGTTGTTTAAGAAAGGAGTAAAAAAATATTCAAAATTATTAGGTACTTCGAATTGAAGTAAAATATCAATAACATCGATTAAATGGTTTTCTTATCATGTATCAATATGATAAATGCATACCAGCGAACATCGATGCCACTGCGGCGATAGCAAATGAGATGACTACAGCAGGACCTGCAGTAGTTTTTGCGACATTTCCTGCCAGGACGTAGACACCTACTCCTAGAGTAGAACCGATTCCTAAGGCTGTGAGATCGATAGTTGATAAAACTCTCGCTAATTTAGAATCCTCAGAGAAGTTCACCACTTTTTTACGACTAAATGCCTTGTATAGACCACGCAACTTCCACTTCATATTGTACAGACTAAAAAAATACACGTACAATTAAAAATTTAAATAGACATTATTAAAACATAATTCATAAAGTGATTGCTAGAAATCTTATTTAAAATTTTACAAATTTTAAGTTAAAAAAAATATCGCAACTGGCATGATTCAGTATCGCTAACAGTATTATCGCGATAATTGCATTTATTATCTCTTTAAAAAAATATGAAATAATTTTGCGAGTAGAATGATGTATAACAAAATATATATTCATTATATCGTAAAAAAATTTTTATAAATCAATTTATATGTCATACCATGTGTATTTTGTGTCTTTTCTCTTAGTATCGATAATTTTGTAAATGTAATTTGAAATAAAAATTACATATACAATCGGATCACTTTTTAAAATTAATGACTTACCATGAGGAGTTTTGTTAAAGCACAATCCATTTTTCTTTGTGAAAAAAATGCGAAACGTTAACAACAAATTACACAATTTATCTGTCAGACTGCCGGCGCGCGACTAAAGGCAGTCAATTAAAATTCTGTATATAAGTGAAGTGTTATATAAGTGAAGAAACGAATGTTGGGGCGCTTCTGCTCGTTCAATTGGCCGAATTGTCTCGGCACAAGAGTGAAACGACGCGTCTATAAGTAAACCTCTTATATTTATTATGCTTAATCACTGACACTTCACAATGCGAACATCATTCTCTTTCTTCATTTCGCTTAAATATTTCCCAGAATCATATTAAGTATTTCTTAATTCAATCTGATTAATTCTTGTTCTAAATTTCGGCATACTCTATACATGCTAAAACCTATTGGGAAAGTTAAAAAGCCCAGGTATAAATTGTCACTATACATTGTATAACTCGGCAAGAATTTGATAGCAAAATCTAATCAATGTGGTTTGTGGCTTTCCTCCGTTTGCAATATCTAATACGTTTGTAATGAATCGTAAACGCGAGATATTTTAGGATGTTCATATCAGCATTATATTACTCAGTAAATTATACATTAAACGTATATTGGTTCAAAATTTTCTAATTTTTTCTTACTTTTCAAGAAAAAAAATCTAACAAACTTTCCAAACACGATACAGTTTCTTAGAACAAGATCCTCATGATTTTGAAAAAGTTCTGTGAAGTCTTTTAAAGGTTAACTTAAATATTACCCTCTTAACATCGTATTTTCAATATTTTCAATCTCTATAATATAGAATAATATAGAATTATAACAATTATTTTGTATAAATTCATCGATACCTTTCAAAAAACAAAACAGTAAATGTAATAAAAACTAAGATCCACTGTAAAATCCTCAATTTAATAGCTTTAATCGCTTTGTGTACAATACTAATATGATCCATGTGCTCGACGTGCCGGTATAGATATCTCCGTTTCAGATTTATCATACAGGTAACGCGCATGTGCTTATATTTGTAAGGCAATACTGCCTTCGTTATATCTTTCATATAGATGTATTAAATTAAATTTATATTCGTTGTTAAGGAACAGTGCAAAATTAATAATAAAAATCTTTAACGGCGAAAAAATAAAAACGTAAATAATAATAACATATTATGAAACGTTACATGAAGCAATCTTTTAATTTTTTCTATCTAAATTAGCATTAAAAATTAAGTTAATACGTCAATTTAAATTAACTTATATAGCTGTGTATGGAATTGGTCAACTTGTTAAATTTGGGTTACCGTTTGTCCTATTAATTTGTAAACATTTTTTTCTTTATTCACGATAAGAAAAATACAATGTGTTCTTACTTGGTCGGAGCAACGTGATTTTCTTAGTTGTGCGCAAAATCGAGTCGTCAGAATTACTGCAATCGCACTGAATACGACTATCAATTTTACCTCGTAGAATGACGCGTCGCATCTTGGGATTGTTTTCAGGAATGTATTAACCATTTTCTTTATTCTGCTTATCTACATAGATACTGGTTATCCTACACAGTCATGATAATACGATCAATTATGAGACATGTTAATACGAGTATCTTGAGTTCAGTGTCCCCGCGCAAACAATTTGCGTGTATCGCTTATACGAGTTTCGCTGATCGAAAGAAAAAATCGTCTATTCGTCAGCAACAAATACAAAATGAATATTGGTGCATTCAGTTGTTACTTTCATGTTTCCATAAAATAAATTCATATGTTAGCTGTAAATGTAATTTTATTGAAAAATGGACGGAATATATATACTATGTATATATAATAAATAAAAATATTAGTGTACGTATTACATATACACTATGTACGTATTACATATATACTATGTATTGTAACAAGTAGAATATTAGTCTAAATGGACGGATTAAATGCTACATAATAAAGCAATAATCGCATATCAATTTGAACACGCAACATTTGTCAAATAATTAATGACAATTTTAAGTATATATGTTTGCATGTTTAACATCATAAAATGGATGTAAATACTTGTATAATCATCATAAGGCCACTATTACCACTAAGGCCACAATATATATCACATTCTGAGATGTGACTGTACAATATAAAAGATTAGATTAAACACAATACATTTAGATATGTTAGAAAAATGTAACTATCTTGTGTCTATAACGTGCAATAATCATTGTTATTGTATAAAAAAAAATTTGTTGTTCAGTTTGCAGTGTATCGAGATTCATTATTTGCGAGTTGACTAGAACGTCAACTAACTATATTACTTTTTTATTACTTGTCTTGGCAGTATTATTATCATTGAAACCTTGATGCACCCAGCAACGAAATCATAACCATTATAGCAAATATTCCATTGTGCAATTTTATTTTGTATCCAGCAGACTGAAATAAATAATAAAATATTTTTTTGTTTGACACTATTATTCTTTTAAAATCCCTTTAAAATCAAAAGATTATACTTACAATAACGAAATAATTGCATCTGTCGCCTTGACAGCAAGAAGAACATTTCCAATCTTCGTACCAGATGTATGTACAATCAGGCATATTATTACGTTGTAATTTTTCACATTCATTCTTAACAGCACATCGTTTAGAAACATAAAATTGTTTCATAGCACCCTGGGACCAGTACGGTAGACCTGCAATGATATGCAATTTATTAGTCTTATAATACTATTCATATATTAAAATTTATTATTATGTACATTACATTAATTTCATTACACTAATATTTTTCTAAATACACTTAATTAAATAGATATAATTTTTTAATTCAGTTATCTTTTGGCTAGCTGATTAAAGTTGTATTCTTACATTTGAAAACAAAGTACTCATGTTTCCTTACGCCACTTTCCAGCTAATAATGACACGAGTCCACACAAGTATCATTCTATCTTTGTTCACTATTGGACATCAAATAAAGATAGAATGATACTTGTGTCATTAACTAGAAAGCAGCCTTAGTTTGTTATCTAAGATACTTAAACCAATATTTCTTTTAACAGAATAAAATATATTTAATTCTCTTATCAGGCCTAATAAAAAGCGATAAAACGATAGTCGGTAATTGATTTAAAGTGAAGAACTGATAAAGAATATGCACTCCATAACACAGAGCGTAACCTCAAAAACCAATGAGTGAATACAAATATGTGCAAAGTATGTACTTACTGCCCCATTTAATCACCGTTTGGCAGGCGTCTTGGTATGATTCGCAGGTTTTAATGGTATTTAAGCATTTGTCTACATTGCCCTCCTGATCTGTGCAAACGTAACACTCCAGGGCGTGGCCTATAATGAAATTATCTTAAAGAAGAACAAGAGAAAAGATAATGCAAACAAGACGTGACTTACCAAGCGATACGCAGAAGATAACGAGTAGTCCAAAATGCCATTTTGTGAAATTCGGCATTTCAGATGAGATAATATAAGAACAATTTATCGTTGAATAACAATCAAGACACAAGCATCAGCTTCGAACTGCTTTCAACTGGGTTTGAGTTTGAATACAATTTATACATAGATGGAACTATAGATGACGGGCGGAACAGTGACGCTAGCGCATCCCACGTAGGTTTTAATAAACATTTTGAAGTAAATGTTATAACGTCTTATGGTAATAATTATGTGCGAAACCTGCTTTATCCGATGCAAATATTAAAAACTATTCTTATGACTGCCTAACACAATTTCGTTAATTATCATTAGGAAACACTGCTAATTGTAAGTTTTATTAAAAATTGTATAAACCTCAAATCAACAAGTAATCAAAACACACAAATGTTTTAGAAGTATTGTGTAAAGATTTAAAGTATACAACATTTTCATGATACATCAGCAATGTTTCAACAAAAGAAATTGAGAAATTTTATTTGCAGAATTTCTCTGTGACATTTTATCTGATATTTAACTTTCAATTGTTTACTTTGCCTTCAAATCTATTGCGATAAACTTACTCATGTCGTTTAATATTTTATATTGTGAAGATTAAGATAAAAAAACATTAGATATCAGAGATTATGTATAATGAATGAATTTCCTCACCTAAGCTGAGTATGCTTCCAGTTGTACTTGAAAAAATATATGTATTTTAGTTATTATAAATTATCATATACATTTTATGTATGTTGATTGCTACATATTATTGCATTATTTCCAAACATAATTATATTCAATAAGTTGTGTAATTATTTAAAATTTATACTAAATAACCAACCAATATTTTTCAATAAATATTTTAATAAGTATTTTCAAACACATCTAATAATAAATATTAAATAGAAGTTATAACACGTTATATCGATGTGCTATTGCAATTATATGCAGAATTAAATAATGAATAAATTCTGATCACCAGCCACCAGTATTGCAATTTGCTCCACTCATTACAGGTTGTGCTTTACAATTAAACTGCTCTGTATCAATTCCATTGAAGAATCGATGAAAATAACAAACTCACTGCACTTTACTTATACGAAAATCACAGATTTACGTTGCAAATTTGTTAATTTGTGAACGTTATGTGAAATGCAAAATGTGAGAAAAAATAGACTTTGCACCGTGATGTAGTATACATGTCAGTTCGGAATGTCAATGCTTCGCGATTAACGACGTATTTTATCCGTTAATAGTGCATAAGTAAGTACAATTTTTGTTAAAAATGTCGATTAAAGTAGTGGGCAATTGTCGGAACGTATTATTTAACGCGGGTGTTAATGATACTTGCGATTGTTCCACAATGTATCGTGTCGCGACGTTTTGTTGGTTATTGTACTGCAAGTTTTTATCCAGAATATCTCAATTAAAGTGACGAGCGATTGCTGGAAGGATAATTATCTATCGCGTATTATTTACCGCGAATGTTATAATTAATGAGATTTCGTCGATTGTGTACGATTAAACGTTGATTTCTCGTTGTCCCGCAATAAAAAAAAAAAAAAAAAATGATCAATATCTATGAAATCTAGAAACAAGATTCGAAATATATGTGTCTTGTAGGGCTGATTATTGACTGTAAGACACAGAGCAAACATATAATCACATCATTTTTAAGTCTTTTAATTTGTTTGTATTGCAGGAAATTCTAAATTAGAAGAATGGTCTCCCAGTTCAATTCGACGTGCGGGATTGTGTGAAGATCATTTCCCTAAAGATTCATTCACAAATACTGCCAATAAAGATTTGAAACGAAATGCGGTACCAATTCCTTTTAATCAAATTATTTTATTAAATAAAAATGTACCAAATAAAAATAGCACAAATAAAAAAATTACAAATACAAAAATTGCACAAATAGAACGAGTACCTCATTATGAGCAAGCAAATACGGAAGACAAAAACGTTTTTGTTCTAGGGAAAGATTACATGATCGATACTCTGACAGATAAGCCGAAAAAAAAGAAAAAATAAGAAAGTTAAATGAAATAACGTAGAACATGGTAAATATTTAAAGAAAGTAATATATTCAAATATGTGTATTTACTTTTAATCTTTTTTTTATTATTTTATGTATCTTGCAGTTTTGTCATTGTATTAAAAAAATACTTACTGTGCTATTGTATCATGACATTACATTTATTATGAAAAATGTTTCCAAATCATGTTTTACTTTGCCAGTCATAATTATTTAATAGTAATGAGAAAAAAAAACATGAATTTTTCAATTTCTTAGAAGATCGCAATCACAGTTGAAATAATTACATAAATCGTTAACTAGCAGGTCTCATCACGGAAAAAATAAATAATAGGTTCTAATACGGTTATACTAAGAAATTGTAAAATCATGCATTTTCTTATTACCAATGATATAATACGAGATGCATATAATAGTAATGAAATTTTAAAAAATACAATAAGGCGATATATATGAGATGTATAATATATATATATATATATATATATATATATATATATATATATAGTGTAGTATATATATATATATATATATATATATTATTATTATTATTACTATATATATATATATATATATATATATATATATATATATGTATACCGAGTTTTGAATACCAATTTCACCGAAAGAGTATGAGTATTCTAATGAATGATTGTAATTGCCCAATAATAATGCAGCAAAATTTCTTCATTAATACATGCTAATGTATTCACATTGAAATATAACACTAGTTAGTGCACATGTGGAAGCGTATGGTAATAATTATAATCGAATTATGATTTGTGCTTGGCCGTTTCATAATTAACTTCTGATTCTCATAATAATTATTATATTATAAAAACGCGCAATAATCATTGCGATCTCTTGTTATTAATACGCTTAAGATAAAATCATCGTCAAGTAAAATAGAAAAAAAATAATAATTGGCATTTTTCCGTCATGGCAAAGGCTTTTTCAAAAAGGATTTTTTTATGCGAATCAGTATGATTGTATTATGCTTCATTAGGACAACGCGCGGCTAATATTTCTCAATCCAATC